AGAGCTGCTGGAAGACAAGCTGCTAGACCTAGCAGCTACTCACGGGAAGGGAGTATGTTTCCAAGTGCTGTATTATGCAGCACTGTCCTGATTGCACCGTTTTCTTGTGGCAGACACTAATGTTAAAAAAAAAGATGATCTGTGAGGATCAAACTAGGGATACCCTGACATCCACATGCCGGAAAACCATCCCCTCCCTTTGAAACGGGCCCTCTGTAGTTAGCATTGGATAACATTAATTTAAAAGGACGGCACAGCTAATTGTGCAAATCTCTGCAACATCCCTCTGACCCCAGGGAGACCTTTCTTCTGTCACATCCATGTGTCACCGTCCGCTCTGATCACAACCTACAGCAACAGGCAGGTGGGGGCTTTGCACAGCTCCTGCTATGCTTAGAATTACCAGGTTCGTCTGACAAATGATCCTTGAATACCAGAAGCAGGACGTTCATGGCACAGTAGTAACAGGACACCACATGACTGTTAAAGCTATAGTACAAAAACCCAGGCTTCACTTACTAAATAATTCAATCTGGGGGTAGATAAGGTACATTCGCCCTGGAGCCTGACTCTGTGCCCCCATAGGGACTTAGACTGAAGGGGCTAGGCTGCTTAACCTCTCTATGTGGCAGGCACAAACCTTATCCTATATAAAAAGAAAATCAGATGCTGCTGAGGAAGAAGATATCCCAGTTGCCTGCAGCAAGGGGATTAGAGGCCCCCTGGGGAGCCGTTCCCATCTCAGAGTGGTACAGGATGGAACTCTATCACTGACGCCTTACATCAGCCCTGGCAGCGGCATTTGTTCATGTCAGGGACATGCATGCAGGTTATTCTGCGGTTGTGCTAGCTGCTTGCTTATTTATTTTCCTCCTAACGTGCTGACAGACAGTTCTGTGGTGTAGTGATGTGACGCGTTACCTCAGAGCCTGCCTACACCTGAGTTAGGGTACGTCTACACAGCAGGGCTAAAGCTGAAATCAGCTACGTAACTTGAGCTACGTCAACTGCATAGCTGAAGTTGAAATAGCTTATTTCGGCTTTTGGCGCTGTCTACGCAGCAGGAAGTACGAGGAAGAGCACTCTTCCTCGGACTACCCTTAATGAGGGTTACAGGAGTCGGAGTAAGAAGTCCTCCAGCTCCATGTTATTTTGACCTTATGTCGAAATAACTGCTTGTAGTGTGGACGTGGACTACGTTATTTCGGAATAACATCAGTCATTCCGAAATAATGCTACTGTGTAGACGTACCCTTAGTTACCTCAGAGCCCAAGGTTGCTTAAACCCCATGAATTAGCCCCCAGCCTGTAAGCAAATCCATAGGCACAGAACCAGCCAGGTGAGCCCCAGGCAAGTGCAGAGGCTGCCGAGGAAAGGAATCGCTCCAGTCTGCTCAGCATAGGTCCCTGGCCAGGAACTCTCTCCTTGGCAGTGATTTCAACCCTGCTTCTGCGCTAGCCCATGGTGGTTTCCATACTAGCCAGCCCCAGTTTCAGCCAGCACTTACTCCTGCCTCAGTTACTCGCCCAGCAATTCAGAACATTGAAAACAGAGATGGGCCCTGCCCCGAGGAATTTAGGAATAAGTCCTGTCTGGAGACTGCATTGACTGAGACACGCTAGGATCCTGGTCTCCCACAGTATGTATAAGGTGTGTATGCCTACACGTCCTGCAACAGTGAACCTCCCAGTCCAGGGGGATAGACTTGGAGGAGGGAGACTCATTCTAATACAGTAATTACTAGTTTAACACATGCCCGCTCAACATGTTTTTGCAATAGCATGATTTTTTTTAGGGAATGTTTTTCGAATAACATGCCCATCCCCGAAATAACACAAAAATAATCAAGTGGTGGACTACTTTGTGCGGCGGTATTAGTTGGTGAAAACAGTGGTAATACGCATGAGCGGATGAATACACGTTGTCACAGCGCTCCTCCGCTCACTCATGTTTATCTTTGTGTTTTAACACACCGCAGCGACTTGTGTCACTAGTTATCTTGTGTTGCTAGATATCGAATGTTGATGTTGATGACCAAGCACCAACAAAAAATCGACTTTGCCATCACCACCTGAAACGCAGCCACCACCTTTTCCATTATTTTTAATTGGAAAATTGACCCCGCATAGCACGTTTTCAGAAAGGCATCTATAGTGTTAAATGAGGAATTACTGTATTCCCAACCTTGCTGTGTAGACAGAGCTTTGAAGGTGCAGCTTGGATAGGGGCGGGTTGTGTTCTGAAATCCACTCAGGCTTCAGAACCTGAACTCCAGCCCAAGCTGCAACTTCAAAGCACTGTCTGAACAGCTATTTTAAAGTGCTAGCATGAGCCCCCCCACTCCCGCAAAGTCGGTTGAGCCTCTGTAGACTTATGATCTAGTGACCTGCCCTACAAAAGTGGTGCAAAACTGATGCTACTAGAAATCCTTAAAGGGGTGACTTCACATCTCTCACCTTCTCTTTGGACGCCTAGACCCAGATTCTCAAAGGTATTTAGGCACCTGGCTCCCATTGATTTCAATTGAAATTAGGTGTCAAAATCCCTTTGAGTATCCAGACCAGTCTTCCCTATAAGCTGAGCACTTGGGCACAAACAATGTTTGTGCTAAGCTCAGGAGAAATTCAAATGCAGCCCAGCCGGCAGCAATGTGTTTTTATTGGTGGTGCACATCTGCAAATGCATCAGTGCACATAACAAAATTTATTATGCACATGGATGGAAAAATTAGGAGGAGCATTGATCTATACTTTAGTGCATAGATACACTTATGGAAAATGAAGGCTGACAGAGACAGGATGAAACATGATGGATTCCTCTAAGCCCATGGTGTGGGAATATATCAGGTCCAGAGAATCTTTCCCTCAGCTTCCAGTGAAGCTGCCTAATCCTGCCTAAAGGATGCTGAACTGTTGCATCATTGCTGAGTGCTTACAGTCCACAACAGAACACTGTCGATCTGTCTACTGCTTCTTGCGGGTGTGGCATAACTATAGCAATTTGAGAATCCATCCTGGTCGCTCTAGTGAGAGTCTACACTGAACGGCTAAAGCAGTGAAGCTGCAGCTGTGCCACTGTAGTATTTTAAGGGTAGACATAGCCTAAAAAGTTCACAGCTATTCATCAAGGCTTCCCACATATCCTGAATCCACCCTGCCTGTTTCCTCCAACCAACCCTCTGTCTGCATTCCCAGAATTAAATACAGGCAGTCCCCGGGTTACGTACAAGAAAGGGACTGTAGGTTTGTTCTTAAGTTGAATCTGTATGTAAGTCGGAACTGGCGTCCAGATTCAGCTGCTGCTGAAACTGACCGCCAGTTCTGACTTAGCTTCCCACATATCCTGAATCCACCCTGCCTGTTTCCTCCAACCAACCCTCTGTCTGCATTCCCAGAATTAAATACAGGCAGTCCCCGGGTTACGTACAAGAAAGGGACTGTAGGTTTGTTCTTAAGTTGAATCTGTATGTAAGTCGGAACTGGCGTCCAGATTCAGCTGCTGCTGAAACTGACCGCCAGTTCTGACTTA